ATGGTAAAGATGAAAAGAGAAATTCATGCGAGTTTTGCTGTCACATCTCAAACTGCAGAAGTTACAGCCACAGTGTGTGAGTGATAAGTGCTTAGTTGAGGTGGAAAAGGCAGGAGCGGGCATTCTGATACAGCAGGCTAAGCTGCCACTTGGAACACCTGCATCTCTTGCATCCCATGTTGGTGTCCTGGTTCCAGTTCTGGCTATTCTTCCGATATAGCTTCCTGCTAATTCACCTTGGAGACAATAGATGATGACTCAAGTGCTCAAGTTCCAACCACCCATATAGGAGATCCAGATGGTGTTCCTGGCTCCTGTCTTCAACCTGGCCCAGCCCTGGCTTTTGCAGCAACCGAAGATCTTTTTCTTTTCTTTCCCCTTCCACCCACCTTCCTTCTTTTCTCTCTCCCTTTCTTTCCCTCTCCCTTCCTCTTTCCTTTTGCCTTTCAAGTAGATCAAACTAAACATTTCTATAAAAAGATGTAAAATGTATTAAGTCATAGATTTCAAGTATCCACTGGGGGTCTTGGAAGATATACCCAATGGAAAATGGGGAACTACTGTAGTAATATACAGAGCACTACTTTTTTATACTTAAAAATTCAAATCAATTAATTTTTGAAGTTAGCATTTTACAAGTACTACCTTATCACCATTTAAATCTATATGGGGCCGGCGCCGTGGCTCACTTGGTTAATCCTCCACCTGCGACACTGGCATCCCATATGGGTGCCAAGTTCTAGTCCCAGTTGCTCCTCTTCCAGTCCCGCTCTCTGCTGTGGCCCAGGAGGGCAGTGGAGGATGGCCCAAGTGCTTGGGCCCTGCACCCGCATGGGAGACCAGGAGGAGTTACCTGGCTCCTGGCTTTGGATCGGCGCAGCGCTGGCCGTAGCAGCCATTTGGGGAGTGAACCAATGGAAGGAAGACCTGTCTCTCTCTCTCACTGTGTGTAACTCTACCTGTCAAATAATAAGAGAAAAAAAACCATTTAAACCTATACTACAATGAGGGCATGGCTGCAGCAAATCCATTAAACCCATGTAAAGCTTAAAAATATGCTTCTGAGTTGGTGATATTGTTTAAGGTAATTTACTATAAGGAAGCAAATTGACAGAAACAAAAAATTGGAATATTAATAATTAAAACAATTTAAACAGGAATTTGGTACAATATAGTACATTACCATAATGCAATGATTTAAGAAATGAACATGATAACTTCATAAGAGCATTTTGAAGTTTGTGGAAATATGGAATTGAGGTTTATTTTGGTACAAAATAATTTTGAAATTCATGCATAATCTTAAAGATTTATTTATATGAGAATGAGACAGAAAGACACACAGGAAAGAAACAGACACAGCACTCATTTCTCTGATTAATTCCCCAAATGTCCACGACAGCCAGGGCTTGGCCAGGTCAGAAATAGAGGAGTCAGGAGCCACGTACTCAAAACAGGTCTCCCATATGGGTGGCAGGAGGCAAATACTTAAGTCATCACTTTCTAATTACCAGTGTAGACATTACAGCAGGAAGCTAGCATCTGGAACTAAGATGGAGCTCAGACTTAAATGTAGGATATAGGATCTAGATGCAGGCATCTCAACCAGTGTCTGAATCACTGGGCCAAATGCCTAAGCCATATCTTGTTTTTAAAGTACACTTCTTTTTTTTTAAATTTTTTAAATTTTTTTGACAGGCAGAGTGGACAGTGAGAGAGAGAGACAGGGAGAAAGGTCTTTCTTTTCCATTGGTTCACCCCCAATGGCCGCTGCAGCCAGCGCACCGCGCTGATCCGAAGCCAGGAGCCAGGTGCTTCTCCTGGTCTCCCATACGGGTGCAGGGCCCAAGGACTTGGGCCATCCTCCACCGCCCTCCCAGGCCACAGCAGAGAGCTGGCCTGGAAGAGGAGCAACCAGGACAGAACCGGCGCCCCGACCGGGACTAGAACCGGTGTGCCGGCGCCGCAGGCGGAGGATTAGCCTAGTAAGCCACTGCGCCAGCCAAAGTAGTTATCTTTCAACATACCACATGATTGCATCTGTACAAAAATGGACAGGCACTGGAAGGCAACAAGCAAAATTAAAATATTTGAGTTTAAGTAGGATTATGAATCATTTTTGTTTGGGGACTTTTTTGTTACTGCTCTCTCAATGTTTCAATAATTTTTAAGATGAAAAGTGGGAAAGCACCTACCCTCACAATGATGAGACTTAGATATATGATGTAATGATTTTTTTTTAGGGAGATCAAATAAAATGTTTGTTTGCTGTACAATAATCAACTATACTTTTAAAACAGCAAGAATGTGAAAAAAGTTTCAGGTGCCTGATTCTATTCAGTGAAACCTGAATAGGGGACTTTTTGTATTTTAAGAAAATTGACCATTTCTTTTCAGCAGTACTGAGGGTAGTATACTGTGTAGATTTTGTGGCTATTGTATATTAACATGACAGAATGTTTTATTTTTGATGCAACACAGAACCACACAAAACTGAGCAAAGGAGAAAATGGTGCTGGAAATTTTACAACAAATTAGTATTAAAATATTTTGGTATTTTTTACTTAATGTTTAAGTCTTTCTATGTTTATCCTGCAGATTAAGTTTATCACATATCTTTACTTTTTCCATTATATTAAAATTGACAGTTGTTTCAACTGAAAAAAATACCTTGTGATAGAAAGTCTTCTGAGAAAGAACATGCTGTCTTGTTACGTTTGCAAAATCAAAACTTCTAGCACAGTCCACTCTATCTCCTCCTGACCAAAAATACTTTCAAAAAACTAAAATCCTTTCATCTAAAAGTTCATGTGAGAACTTTACATTTCCTTTCCAACAAATCTAAAGGCTGAAGCATTTGCAAGGGAAGCAAGAAAAAGTTCAAAGGCCTAAACAAAAACCTGACTGGCTCCAAATCTAGTTGCTTAATCACTGATGTCTAAGTGTCTCCAGGGCAGGAAGAGAAACCAGTGGGGGCTGAAAGGAATAGAATTTATAAACTCTGAAAGATGTGTTTCCCCACCAATTCTTCCTCCCTCCTCAAAGGAGAGGAAAGCAAAGCATTATCAGTTACATCTTGAGGAATGAACAGTCACCTTTAGAATTAGGCCAAAGAAGTGTAAAGTAAAATCAAATTGGCCATTTCTTTTCCTTAATAATTTTTTAAACAGAAATTTTTTTAGATTCATTTATTTAAAAGGCAAAGTGATCAAGAGCAAGGAGAAAGAGAGAGTAGCACCTTCTATCCACTGGTTCATTTCCCAAATAGCTGCAACAGCTAGAAATGGGCAGCCTGAGGGCCAGGTGCCAGGAACTCCATCCTGGTCTCTCACATGGGTGGCGGGGGCCCAAGTACTTGGGTTATCTTCCACCGCCTTCCCAGGTATGTCAGCAAGAAGATGGATTGGAAGCTGAGCAAACAGGACTGAAACCAGAACACTTATATAGGATTCTGCTGTCAGGCAGTAGATTAATCCACTGTGCCACAATGCTGGCCCCTTCCTTAATCATTTGATATTATAAGTTCCTGGACAGAAACTGGAGTGCTTGATTGATTTGCAACTTTCAGATTAACTGTAGCCTTCATTAACATTTTATATCCTGCATTCTGATTAGGAGCTTACACATTCCAATGAAAAGTTGCTTGTGGTAAAGTGTAATGTGATGCCCTTTATTATACTTTCTCTACCAAGAAACATTGATAAATATTTATAATACTAATTATCTTTTTGTAGACATTTTGTATGGTCATATGAATAGTCAGGAAATCAGAGTTTTAATTACAGCTCTTCTTACTACTTGTGTAGCCTTGGGCAAGCAATGAACTTCAGTATATTTAGCTTTAACATAGCAATAATAATAGCAACTCTCGTTAAGATAAACCTCAATTCTCAATTGTTAAACTGATAGGTGCTTCTTTGCAAAAAAAAAAAAAACAAAGGGAAAGAGGGAGAGCACGAACACCGAGCGAGCGAACAAGCGTTCTAGCATACAAGGGTGTATAATATATAATAGTGAATCCTTAATATCATGGTATTCATGAAGAGACAGATATAATCAACTAGAAAATTGACATCAATTGATAGGTAGAGATTAATGACAAGGGAAAGCATAGAAGGTTAAATAATCAGTTAGAAGAAAAAGCTATTTTAGATAGGAGTGGATGGCAAGTAAGGCCTTTCTTACTAAAGCAGTATTTGATCAGGAAATGAAATGAAGCATGGGGGTGGATTATGTGCATATATCTGGCATTGTATATCAGCCTAATTTCATTTAAGCCAGTTTCCACATCTAAGTGTGACATACATTTGTACAGGAAGCTATAAGAAAAAAAACAGGAGTTTGAAAGAAGCTCAGGAAGTACAGACAAATAGGAAAATATCTTTTCAAAAGGAGGGGAGGAAAACAGCAATGGTGAGAAGAAGCATTTCATTCCCTTTGGGCAACTGGAGAGGTCTTGCCTGTGGTTACCTGGGTGTGAGCATCAACACTGGCCTATAGGATCCCTGTGGTGCGGAAGAGGAGATGGCACCTGGAAGCAAGCTTCTGCATGGAACAAGCTCTTGGGGAAGACTGAATATTCCTTTTCCCTAGTCTCTCATAGTGAAGCTACTAAATTTTAGACTCAGGAATAAGCTACATTGAAAAGAGGGAAAAGGACAAATGTGCCATAAAGGAGCTGCTGACAAAGAAAGAAATAACCTGGAGAAGGTTTGAGTCAGCCCTGATGTCTCTGTTGTTGCCTGGGCATTTTCTATGCATGATTTTAATGTTAATCTTTAGTAATATCTTCAACTAAACTAGAGAATAAAGGTTTCCCAGCCAGACATAAAATGAACGAAGTTAGTAATTATGATGGATGAGTGATTCAGGACTCCAAAGGACTTCGACAGATTCTCTTTCCTAGTGGAGCTACTAAATTTTAGACTCAGGAATAAGCTACACTGAAAAGAGGGAAAAGGAGTCAAGTTAGGGTTAAAGAGGGGTCTTGTGACAATTACCTTTTTTTCTCCACCCACAGTCCTTTTGAGATGAGGTGTGGTTAACTCAGAAGTCAGGAGAAGTCAGTCCAGGTGTTGCACACACCTAAACAAAGAAGGACTTTCAGAAACTGATTAACACAAGCCCTCTGGAGAAACAGTGGGAGAGATGGATGTTGCATAAGCAATTCTCTGAAAACTCTCTAAAGAACATTAGACTTGGGCAATGTAGTAAAAAATTGACTCATTGTTCTGCTATTTTTTTTTTTTTACCCCATGGCAAAAAAAAAAAAAAAATCAAAATTTTTATATGGCAGTTTTAAGTTCAAAGACATTTACTTCAGATGACAGTGCCAAAGTGTGTGAGAGCTACCACCGGTATGCACTTGAATTACTGGCATGAAAAGTCTATTAATACTAAATGTTTTAGAAAACAAGCAGATCCAAATTTCAGTTCCTTAAGGCTTGTTACATAGTTCAACTAGTTTCCCAATCTATCTAGACCTTGATGCCACATTTCATTTGCAGAGCTCCCACTTCTGCACACTGCTTCCCAGCTCTGCTTGTCTATCACTCACTCACAATGGCTGCTTTACACTCACCCCACTAATCAGCCTTCTTGCAAGCCTAGAAATAACAGACATTTCTGGGGAGGACGCCTGACTTGTTCACAGCGCTATCCCAAACTATAAGCACAAGGTCTGGTTTAGGGTAACTGCTCAATAAATATTTATTAAGTCTATAAACAAAAGCCTGAGGTCCTCTGCCTTGGATCAGCAATTATCTTTTCTGAGTAGGCTCTGGGAGAGAAAACGGGTAGGTATTTATAAAATATGGGTGTTGATTTTTTATTTCCTTCCTTTTTTATACAGTTATTGGATGGACAAAGAAAATATGGTAGGCAAAGTTTAGGTGAATCTGACCAGATCTCTAAGATGTCCTTGTGAAAACATTTAGTCTGAATTGTAATACAATCAGGGAGCTTCACCACTGTGAACAAATGTGCCATAAAGGAGCTGCCGACTAACAAATATCCACCGGGAGAAGGTCTGAGAGTCAGCACTGATGTCTCTGTTGTTGCCTGGGCATTTTCTATGCATGACTGCAGTGTTAATCTTTAGTAGTATCTTCACCTAAACTAAATAAAAGGGTTTTTCAATCTTACATAAAATGAAAGAAGCTAGTAAGTATGATGGATGAGTGATTCAGGACTCCAAAGGGCTATGACAGATCCGTGCACTGGGCCAAATCTAACTTAACAGTTAGGCAATCGTAAGTAGAAATTTCCTATGGCAGTTCTTTCACTCAGGGAAAGACATACAGACATATTTACATTCAGGTGAAAGGCCTACCAAGTACCAGTGGGGTCAAAAGGCAATTCATGTGAAAAAGGGAGGAGTTTGAAAAAGGACACTAAAGCCAAGGACAAACCCAGTAACACCAATGACTACTGGTCCCACTCTCCTCCCCACAAAAGCTAAAGTGATTTTAGCCTACATTAAAAGAATTGTGTTACATTTAAAAATCACACAAGTATTTGTGGATTTATGATTGGCCCTGTGCTGGATGGTGTGCAGGACAGAGGTATCATGCATAATTCCTGCTTTTAAGGCACACTTCAGTCATAGGAAGATTAGCAGTTAGAAAACAATGTAAGATTATGTGATTTGACAATCACGGCTATCAAGGAAATGGCTCCTTCAAACTCCCAAAGCCCCAAACCAAAATCGAAAACAAAACAAAACGAAAAAGTGCTCAGCAGAGAGTCCATGAATTGACGTGGTTTATAAGCATGAGTCAAGGTCATCAAGAACTTACTGTAAATAAAGTCCATTTCTCTCTTCAGAGAAACCAAGCAATAGAAAGACATCCTAGAAATTGTCTTTTTTTACTTGTTTCATTGTTTTAGTTGAGGGCTATCATCCAGGTATCTGGAAAATTCGATGGGGTTTGGCTCAGTCCTGAGTGCATCAAATAAATCAGATACCACTGTTTCTAATGAAGCACTGTCAGGTACAGGTTACAGAAAGGAAGCATTGCACACCAAACTCTACAGAGCCAAGCCTGACTTGCGGGCTGTAAGTATTCTAAGCTCATGGCACAACCAAAGAATCTGGAGTACTGATAAAGACCACAGGGAGAAAGCTGCTGCTTCTAGATAACATAAGTTTATAATTTACCAAAATACCAGCATCATATTACTCTCTACAGCCATGGTGCACCATATACCAAAACAATGACACATTTCCTCCTCAGGTGGGGTTTCCAGGGCACAATAGTTTTCTTTGTGCCTGTTTTTGGACTTCTAAATACTAGGGGCAAAAAAAAAAAAACAAAAAAAAAAACAAGAACATGCCACTTAGTCAGAATATGCCACCCAAAATGTGTGGCCTCTAACTACTCTGAACCAACCCTCCATGAAGCACAGAATGTCTTTCGCAGCTGGCTTTTTCTTTCTACACATATAGCAGCTTCTTTAAACCTCCACCTCTTCCCTGTTTTCATTCCCTCCAGGTGTGACCTACCTCACTTCAAATTTCATAAAATACCTCCTGTCTCCCACACTCCTGTCCAGCTCTACTCCAACATGCACCTGTTCTTTCCTGTTCACAGGGATAACAACTCTCCTACTCAAGGCACAGCCCCTCACCTCTTCATAGCTGCTGATACTGTTGTGTTCTCCCCCCTTCTTCTCCCCTCTGCACTTCTAGTCTCATTCTCCTCCTACCGCTCCTCTGGAGGCTCTTTCTGCATCACTTTTAGATGGCGCATTCCCAGCAATTCTGTCCACGGTCTTCTCACACTGACTTGCACAGCCACAGACCCACCAGGGTGCTCTTCACCCCTCACACATGCTCTTTAGCCTTCTGGGCTGAAGTCTGCTCCACTGACTCCCTTGCCCAGGAAATGCTTGTCTTTCGATTATGTTCAAATGTGTCTTTTTGAACTGTTTCCTGATTCTTACACCAAACTCAAAAGGCCTTCTACCATTGGACCTTTCTCCAATAATCACCATTTCTGTGTTTTTCTTTCTTTCTTTTTTTAAATCATCTTAAACTCCTTGGAATAAGAGGCTGCTTTGTTCTTTGCCCTGTCTTTATGTGGGCAAGGATTCAATGAACACTGTAAATGGAAGGGATTCATTTTACATGATGTTAGTAATGAGTTCTCTGAAATCCAACATTGGTTGGATAACCGATTAGTGGGGCTGTCATTCAACATGGATGTAACTTAATGTTCCTAACCAAAAGGAAGAATTTATGATGTTATGATGATCTTGTATGAAGCAAATCTCCTTAAAGTTAATTTTTTAAAGACCAGAGGTGAACAAAGCCTAGACAGACCGTACTAATTAAAAGTGCATTGGTAGTATCATATTTCCTAGCAGACACTGAAACATTTCCAACACAGAAGGGTAACCTCTGCTCTGTGTGATGATGGCGTGGGTCACTGGCCAGTGAAGACCTAGACCATTTGGATCCTAGACTTGTAAACCTTGTGGATCTTGGAGGAAAAAGATCTACCTTTGTTCCTCAGAACCGGTCCTCTTTCTACAGCAACTGCTAACCAATCATGTGACACTACCTGATGGGTGTGCTCGACCTAGGAAGCTTTTGTGTCTTCAGCAGCTCCCTTGGAGAGCTTATCTGTCTGGATGCACAGGGGAGGCTGACAAAACTATCTCTTCATCTACTTTGCGCAATTTTTATTTCCAACATGAAATTATTTTGTAAAGCTTTTTTAAAATACCAGCTCTAACTGGTACATGTGTGGAAGAAAGCAACTTCGCAGGTTTTGGCACAGTTGGAGACATTAAAAGGTCTCTGGTTATTGAATAAAATCAGTTTTAAACCTTCCTGAGAGACTGTTATTTCCTCACTAATTCCTCTTAAGCAAAATATTTAAGATCAGGGGTGAAGTTAAGAGACTACAACTTTTCCTTCTGAAGATTACCTTTCATGGAAATCATAGAATGGAAAAGTAATTATTCCACGAGGTCCAATAAAACAGCCCAACCCTACCAACAAATTCAGACAGCATTACCCTCAAACATCCTCCACTTACGGGGGTGGAGGGAGAAAAAGAAAACTTCCTTAGATCTATTTGAATATAAAAACATTCTTTACTACATTGAATTTTATAAAATCCCATTGTTAAATACTTCCTCTCAAACTGCTGCCAAATGGGAGGATTACTGCTGAAACAGACAAGGAATTTGTGGCCTCCTCCCCATACCCTGATGAACATCAGTTACACTTTGGCACACGTACAGATCTATTTTCTACAGAGGATGCAGCTTTCCAGAGATGTGAAGGATCTGGAATGAGAACACTTGTCCTCATCAACCCACTTCCTCTATTGGAAGGGAGTCTCCCAAATAGTCCTCTAAAGGAAACACTGAAATGAAGTGACCCATGGTCCGTAAAGTAACAGTAGTTCCATGACTGTCTCAAATGATGTAAGGTACAGCAATTACACCTGAAGGTCACTGGGATTTTTACTAATGCAATTTTAGATAAATATTTGCACAGATGCAAACACAGTTATTTGTTTTGCATCAACAGAACTCATCCAAATGCTATTCTTAAAATATCAACAGTGGGAAACTGCAATTTGCTTGCAAGAGTTTAAATGTATTCATCTAATAAAAAGTAAGAAGTTTTGTGGGAGAAAAAGGGTGAAATGCTCTAGCAAGTTGGAATTTAGTAAGTCATTCTAGGGATCCCATTTGTTCAGTCAGCAGGTCAATACTTCTGCTGTGCAGCACAACGCCAGTGACAGTCTTAGATGCCCACTATGTTAACAGAGTGAATGTTTCTGGCTAAGCTACATGAAAACGATTACTGTAGCAGTCTTTGAATATATGCCACTTATCACATATCTCTGAGAAGATCTATGAAGCAAAGAAAAGACTCTTGTTGTTCAAAGATTACTTTAGCTGAGATGGCACCAGAGTATTTGAAACTGTGTTACTAAGCAATATTTCAGAGATGGCCTATGTGTCAGCAGATAGTTATGCTCTAGTTGTACAGTATAACATAGTTTCCAGAATAGTTCTGACATCTCCTTAGTAATAGAAACAGAGACCAAAATGAGTAAAGCTCTTGCGGTTTTCTCTTACTATAGCAATGTTTGGATCTTCAAGGTTTTTTCCTTATCGCTTTTCATTGAAACTAACTTCATCTTCAAAGGTGAAGATGTGTAAAAAGTGAAGAGATTAAAAGAACATGTATATATTGCTGTAATTTTAAAGGCAAAAAGATGCAACTTAGAATAACACAATTGGGGTGGGTATTTGCCCAACCCATGACAATGCTAGCTAAAATACCCAAGGTTGCACATCACAGCATCTGGGTTTGAGTTCAGGCTCCAGTTCCTAACTTCAGCTTCCTGCCAGTGCAGATCCTGTGAGGCAGCAACTGATGGATATCTGCCACCTATGAAGAAAACCTAGATTGAGTTCCAAGCTCCAGACTCAGCACAGCCCAACCTCAGCTATTTGTTGCAGGCATCTGTGAAATAAATCACTGGATAGGGGTTCTGTCTCTTTGTCTCTGCCCCTCAAATAAGTATTTTTTAATTATAAAATATAAATAATGTAATATCAATTTGGTAAACAGCTCCAGTTTATAAATAACAAAAAACTGACCATCTATGAAAGGTTAAGGGTCATAAAAATACAAAGACTAAGAAAAAAAGCTGTATTATACCTGTTACATCTACTCATAAAACATCTTTGTTACCTGTGGTTATTTCTCTGATTCTCCTATAGTTGGCTCTTAAATATCATTTGATTGGTTTAAACTAACATGTCACCATAAATTGTCTTTTAGTAGCTACTTAATGGTGACCTAGAAGTCATAAACCTGTTTTTGTCATGTTACAGACAAACAATGCCTAGCAAGTATTTTTTTTCTTATGGTAAATATTTTGCCCGTGTGTGTGTGTGTGTGTGTGTGTTTTATTTAATAAATGTGAATTTACAAAGTGCAACTTTTGCATTGTTATGGCTTCCCCCCCAACCTCCCTCCCTCCCGCGGCCCTCCCCTCTCCCACTCCCTCTCCCATCCCGCCCTTCATTGAGTTTCATTTTCAATTACCTTCATATACAGAAGATCAACTTAGTATATACTAAGCAAGGATTTCAACAGGCTGCCCTCACACAACCGCACAAGGTATAGGGTATTGTTTGACTAGTAGTGAGTTGTTTTTAAGTTTCATAGTAAAACACATTAAGGACAGAGATCCTACGTCGGGAGCATGTACCCAGGGACTCTCGTTGTTGATTTAACAATTGGCACTCTTATTCATGACGTCAGCAATCACCCAAGGCTCTTGCTATGAGCTGTCTAGGCTATGATGTGTTTATGGGGAAAATAAAAAACTAAGTTATTGTTTTGATGAAGGAAGAGAGAGAATCAGGTGTCTGGAGGGAGGCAGGGGCATTGCAGGCATGGAAAAGTACAGAGTTTCGTAACTGCTGGGCAATGAAAGAGACTTGCACAGTTAATCCCAACTTGGAGTTACCATCTTTCCATCGGAAAGTGCCAACTATAACAAGACCACCACACCACCACAGTCAGATGAGGATCAAATTGAGCATAGCTCAGAGGAGGTCATCATCCCACATATCAACAACCCAGAATGGAGCCTGGTGGTACCAGAATGAGGATTGACTTCCTTGTGGCACACTAGAAGTGGGCATCTTTTTAGAGTATGCCAAGGGAAACTGATTATCTCAGAGAAATCATTGTGGAAGATACCATGTTAAAAGTCTGAATTTGGAGCAATAATGGACTAGGGGAATTGAACAATCTTCAATTTTATAAACACCTGAACAGGAAGCTCCATGAGTGACAGGTGTGGAACAAAGATAGATCTTGAAGAACAAGAAGAATCAAGCCTCATTTAATTCCTTCAGCTTTAGGCTGCCTGTGAAGTTGGTCAAATTTCCTATTTGGAAGACTGAAAGTTAGTGCCTATTCATCATCTGATGGACAGTAATTTTGTTTTAGAAAGCCAGTTTAGAAAATCGTGAATAGTGACCCATAGCATTACTCTCAGCCTTTGTTAAAGAAGGTAGCAATTATAAAGGCAGTATCATCTCATGGCTGCCATTTGCCAAAAGAGCCTCTCCCTTTGCAGGCCTGGTCTGACACAGACCTCAGAATCTCATGGGCTGAGTGACTGTGGTTTAGAAGGATGCTAGAGAAGACACCAAGATGGCCAGAAGACAATGGCAGCATCAGAAGCCCTAGCTGCAGAGAATATATAATATCATTTAACAGCTGCTGGAGCTCATTAACTATGCTGGCATGAATGATGCTTTATAACTACAAAAAAAAAAGAAAAACAGATAGCAGCCTATTTACAGATGCAGTGAGAGCCAGCCCTTGTTTTCCAGCTTTCAAGGAAAGCAAAATATGTCTGCATAATAACTTCAACCTATAATTCAACACTATTTAAATGTGTAGCTTGCCATAAGCTTAGAGCAGTATTTTTGCACATTTTCAAAACCTCCACAATATTCCTGACTATATTGCTTCCAAGATTCCTGTTACCTGCTGAGGGGCCAGTCAGACTGCAATCCAGCTGGACGTGGCAATCTCTCCAGGCACACACTCTCCCTGCCTTCAAACATTTATCTTGAAACATATCACAGTATGCCTTCATACCCTTAACCTGAGGAAAGCATACTTCAAATACCACCTACAATTTTTTCAGCTTAAACTGCCCAGACTTCCTTGTAGATGTTCTTTCTCCCAAGAATAAGAACTATACTATATGCCCTGGGATAAGTCTCAAGTTTAATTTCGCTTTCATCTTCTCAGTTAATCATCTATCTTCTTCAATACCTCACAGAGAACTGTGCTCAATATGGGTTAGAGACTAAAAGGATATCAAACAAACGATTCCAGCACTAGTTCATTAAAATTATATATTGGTGTTGGAGTGGATGTCCTACTTAGTGTAAGATTATTCTTTTGCTTTTCTTCTTCTTAGTATGTATTTTTGTGAGATATTTTCAGGGAGCACTGAATGGTCTCAGGTGGGATCCAGGTAATCCTGGGTCTCTAGTCCACATATCATCTCATTATTCCACACTTACAACTTTGTATCCTTCAGGCACTAACACTCATTATTCTTTCTACAATTAAACATTCAATATTTATCAAAATAAGCTGTTATCACGTTTTGTTTTAGGTTGCTCACATTCCAGAAAGGTCAGTCACTATGACCAAAGTCCTACCATTCAATTCAACTATATTTATAATTTAAAGAATATTTCATAATAACAAACACTAATCCAATGACTATTAGTAAATTTCAAACTCATCACTGTGACCTACAATGCTCTGCAATTATCTGCTTACCTCTCTGGCTTGTTTTGCTTTGGACCAAAATACTTTATCAGTTTTGCATGTTCCAATTTTTTTTTAAAGATTTATTTATTTATTTATTTATTTGACAGAGTTACAGACAGTGAGAGAGAGAGAGAGAGAGAAAGGTCTTCCTTCTGTTGGTTCACTCCCCAAATGGCCGCTATGGCCAGAACTGTGCTGATCCAAAGCCAGGAGCCAGGAGTTTCCTTTCAGTCTCCCACACGGGTGCAGGCGCCCAAGCACCTGGACCATCTTATACTGCTTTCCTGGGCCACAGCAGAGAGCTGGACTCAAAGAGGAGCAACTGGGACTAGAACCTGGTGCCCATATGGGATGCCGGCGCTGCAGGCATAGGATTAATCTAGTGTACTACCACGTTGGCCCCATGCATGTTCCAATTTTGTTAGGTAAACTTGCTTTTCCCTCTGCCTGGGATATTCTGCCTCCCACAATATCACATGGCAGGCTACTTCTTGTGATTCCTGTCTCAGGACAGAAGAGGAGCCAAAAAGGAGAAGGTAAAAGGGAATTCTTTTCCAGAGATGATGACATTTACATTGAGACCTAAAGAATAAGTGTATTTATGCATGTGTGTGTGCAAGAATGGTGAATGTGTAGAAGAAGGTAGGTAAAGTAAAAGTATTGCATCTGTGAAGAGGAAAGAGTTAAGGCAAAAGTTTTGGGATTGGAGGGAACAGAGAACAAGGTTGTTGGATGAATTTAAAGGCAGCATGGCTGGAGTTTAGAAAACTGGGGTATAGAGAAGATGGGGCATGAGCCAGATCACAAAGATCTCTTTAGAAGAGGATCTAAAAGAGGGGCAACACAGCATTTATGCACTTTAGCAACTTTAAGTTCTATCTTAATTTAGGATCTACAGTAACCATTTTGCATGAGAAGAAAAAAATCCTTCCGCCTTCACTGATATTCTCCTGAGAGCTAGAAAGGTGTTAGTCACACCAAGAGCTATAATTTACCACGTCCTGAGATCCATAGGATGGGACTACTCACGCCAGCCCGAGAGCTTGTTTGCTATCTTAGACATAACACTACCCTCTCCAGCACTAGTCCTAGTGTTTTCTCAGGTGGTAAACTGAATGACTGTTTTTAGAAGGTGATTTTAATTAGCTATTACCACATCAAACATATTCAACAAGAATTAAATTTGTATTAACTAATGAGAGTTTACTTTATAAAAAGAACACATAAGTTTCATTTCAGGAAACTGAATTTTGACAAATTGAAATCTGAATTTTTCAGAATTTCTCATAACTTTTGATGATTTACTTTTATTTACTAAGAGGTTTAGGATCCAGTTGCAAGAAAACAATAAACTCAGCCTAGAACCTAAAGCTAAAGTGTAGAAAACTAAGATAACTTCCTTCAAGACAAAGCTGAACATTATTCTTACTATGAATAAACTGCACAAATTTTCTAATCAATATCTGACCATCAGAACTTAGTTTAAGTAAAATACAGATTGATTGGGTTACACAGCAGAATCAGAATCAGAGAGATATTATAACTGAAATAGTCAAGAAAACTAATGAATGAAAACATAGAAAACGAAAAAATGGAAACTAAATTTTCTAGTCCATAAAGATTATAATTTCAAAGATAATCTTAATCTAGCATGATAATTAAATAGTAAGGAATCTACCCTTTAAGAAGTTTAGCAAAACCAGTTCTTTGATGTATACTTAGAAAGATTATATGCAAGATATGAATACTCAAAGTTGAATTTCTGAATTTGCAGATTTTACCAAATCCCTAACATTTCAGCATGGTTACACTCAGTGCAAATAAATATTCATTTACACAATGTTTCTATTGTATTAACATGGCACATCCTGCAAATAAATAATATTTCTACTGAGAATCAAGACTGCAAGTGCTACAGCTTTATGGCATTGGCATTTATTTATATACTTCACTGCATGTGTTTCTTTAGCTTTTATATAACTTTTCCTTCATTTACAGATTACTGCTATAAGTATTCATTTGCTCTTTTCAAGAGTTTAACTTTTTAGCTAAAAGAAAGACATCAAATTGAAAACTCAGAAAAGGTAGTTGGGCCCAGAGAGGAAACACATTGAGAATAATGAGCTTATTATAACATTATTACACTGTATAACATTTCATGTGTTCTACTACACTGTCCAGTAAAGTATATCACACCCTGAGCTCTCCTGGTTTCATTTTTGAAGTGAGAGCTGTGAAGAGATTCTGATGTTATTCAGAGTTGTAAAGGTACCTGATTGAGTTTATTCATTAATTTCTCTAACCATGTGGGACCCTGAACCCTATGGGGACAGTAAAATCATATTTAGTGTTTGTGCTAAATGAATCCCTAACCTACTTTGTTTTAATTTGTATCAAGACAAAAAAAAATCCTCATCTCTCGAAAGTACCGCATCATTAACTTTATATAATAATTAGATATAAACATTTAGAAAGGCAGAGTATCACTTGGAAACATTAACTTGTCCACCACATTCATGCTGTAGATTTTAAATGTATATTAGTAAGAGATACATGTCTGTGCATAACAACTAAAGAAGTATATTACAGAGTATTAAATTCATTGATTATTCCTAATAATAAGCATATTCAACAAGGTAAGTTTTTAAATCTTATTTACTGATTTTTTTACCATTAAGAGGAGTAAAATGCAGATGAAAAATAATCATAAACAACTTAATCTCTAATAATTTAAGCTTGGTTCTGTATTCTCGGCAGTGCACACAACTCTATACAGACTATCAAATACATCTTCCATATCTACTTGGAATATTTATTCTGATGCAGTGCCATGTGAAGAAAGTCTTCTCCACTATTTCAAAGGGACTGCTAGGATGGTTCATTATGATCATCTTTTAAGATTTTAGTAAGTCACTTCAAAAATGAAGACTGAAGACAAATAATCAAATTTCTGTTACCCTTCTGATAACAGCAGCAGCAGCAAAAAAAAAAAAAAAAGTGGTAACTTCATGTCAGTGTTATTAAGTCACCAAAGATTAACACTACTGAGGAAAGATTTTTTTCCCCCAAATGGTAATATATATGTGAAATTTTAGTGAAAGAAAACAAGACAACATTGATAGCAATCCAGCCAAGCAGGTCCAGGTACCAAACTCATTCCCACACAGGATGGCCTTCAGAGACAGCTCCCTTTTCTGCACAGTCCTCACCCCAGTTGAAGCTATTCTTTAGTACAGGAAGGGCTCTGCCCATGTCTGATGTTTATACACAGCATCACAACAAAATAAAATGCAGGTTCAAAGACAGACTTTTAAAGTCAGGAAAAGTACATATCATTTAAAGAACCACCACTGCTACTTTTAGAAATTCGTCACACTTCGCTTAGGAATCGCCCTTACAGAAATGCACCAATTTTTGCTTTGACAGGTCATAAATAAAAAATAAATGTACAAAAAGAGGAAGAGAAAAGGAGAGGGAGAGGGAGAGGGGAAGAGAGGGAGAGAGAAAGAGGGAGGGGGAGAGGGAGAAAGGGGCGGGGGGAGAGTGAGAAAGGTCTTCCATCCACTGGTTCACTCCCCACCAAATGAAATGGCCGCAACAGTAGGAGCTGGGCCCATCTGAAGCCAGGAGCCAGGAGCCAGGAATTGCTTCTGGGTCTCCTGCAGGTGCAGACTTGAACCATCTTCTACTGATTTCCCAGGCTATTGTAGAGAGCCAGATCAGAAGAGGAGCTGCTGGGAAATGAACTGGAGGTGCAAGTGTAGGCTCCACAGCTCTGGCCCCAACAGTGATCACTCTTAAGACTGGTGGCTAGAGTGCTGGCACCGCAGTTCACTAGGCTAATCCTCCGCCTTGCGGCGCCAGCACACCAGGTTCTAGTCTCGGTCGGGGCGCCAGATTCTGTCCCGGTTGCCCCTCTTCCAGGCCAGCTCTCTGCTGTGGCCAGGGATGCAGTGGAGGATGGCCCAAGTGCTTGGGCCCTGCACCCCATGGGAGACCAGGATAAGTACCTGGCTCCTGCCTTAGGATCAGCGCCGTGCGCCGGCTGCAGCGCACTGGCCTCGGTGGCCACTGGAAGCTGAACCAACGGCAAAGGAAGACCTTTCTCTCAGTCTCTCTCTCTCACTGTCCACTCTGCCTGTCAAAAAAATAAAAAAAATAAAAAAACCTGGTGACTAGAAGGAAGCATGGGTTGCACCTAGGGGGTTGGAAATGTTCCTTTTTTTTTTTTTTTATCTGGATGTGTTCGGAAGGGGTGTTCACATTGGACAACTCATTGAGTTCATCTATGATTTCACTTTTAAAGCTGTTATAATTTAATACAGTTTTAAAAGTATTGGGCTGGCGCTGTGGCGCAGCAGGTTAACACCCTGGCCAGAAGTGCCAGCATCCCATATGGGTGCTGGTTCGAGACCCGGCTGCTCCACTTCCGATCAAGCTCTCTGCTATGGCCTGGGAAAGCAATGGAAGATGGCCCAAGTCCTTGGGCCCCTCACCCGCGTGAGAGACCCGGAAGAACCTCCTGGCTCCTGGCTTCGGATCAGCACAACTCCGTCCATTGCAACCATCTGGGGAGTGAACCATCGGATAGAAGACCTCTCTCTCTCTGCCTCTCCTCTCTCTGTGTAACTCTTTCAAGTAAATAAATAAATATTTAAAAAAAAAAGTTAAAAAAAACCTAAGTGTACAATAGTTATGATTACTCAGTGTGGTACTGACTCTACAGCCATTCTTCAGTTACACCTATCTAGCATACATTTTGACAGTGTTTTTATTCTCAGGAACTGACCTACTGCAGTCCACTTTAAGAATTGTAAATTCTAGTTCATAAATCAATGAGACTTAAAAAATTACATTGAGAAAAAGATACATGAAAGCAATTAGCGCTAGTTTCTGATTTATGTTAAATATTAATTTATCTTAAGTGAATGGTAACACTGTAAATTTGAAAGGGATTTTTTTTTGTAAATAAAAAAAAATGCATCCAGATCTTATTTCAACTATAAATAGCATACTGTTGATGCTATTTTAAAATAGCATTTTAGATTGTTACTGTGGAAATGTGAGGGCATAAACATAACAAATAATGGGCATTAATTTCAAAAATACCCAGAATGGCTTACAGAGGTTTAAACTGGTTGGTTTAAGATTATTAAAGGGTGTTGTAGTTTTTACAAGTTCAAAACAATTCCAATGACTAATTACTTACATGAAGGAAATAACCAAATAGAATGGAAAATTTAGAGGGCAGTGAGGTAAGGCAGGAGACATGAAATAACTCAAGGAAAGAACCTAAAGAAGGCAAGGTCACAGAATTAGGAGAAGCCTGCCCATTTCTCCAAACCTATAGTCATTTACCTGCAAAATATGGTCAGGTTCCCTAGGACACAGCTGAGTTATTTGCTCTAAGTGATTTTGGTTTAGCTATTAAAACAGGCTACATACTCAATTCCAGACCCCAGGGCCTACTGAAGGGCTTCCCTCCCCCCTGCATTTCAGTGTCAGTTTACTAACCTCTCATGGCCCAGCATGACTAATGGAGTGTTTTCACTTTACCTATGAAGGAAATTTAAAGGCACCTCTATATATAATCTCTCTCTCCATCTCTATTAGAATGTCAAAATAATCACACTGTTTTAATACCACCTCTATTGAACATCATCAATGGGTATAAAGCAATAGACAAAAGCCATTATTTTCACATTATGAAAACACTACATACTTAGAAAATACAGTGTTTTAGAAAACAAAGGATGTCACCTTCATCTCTGTTTAAGGGTCTTATTTCTAACACTTATGTGAATAAAGACTCATATTACACAAATCTGCCATAAGAAAAACAGATTTTCAAAGAAGACAAATTAGAAATCAGGCTCTTCACAGAGATCTATGACAGAATTCTCAAACATAAATTGCCTTTACATACTTAGGACAGAGTTTGATGCATTTATTATCTTAAAGAGATAAGTTATTACCCTAAACCAAATTTAACTGTTCAATGGAACGGCTAGTGTTGAAGCATCAACAAATGTCTATAATACTATTCTGATCAGCTAAAACAAGAACAAATAGATTTTTCAAATAAGAGTTACTTGAGTCACTATTGGTTTATTTTTAGACACTTCATTAAGTTGAAAATTGCTACTTTATTACTTAAAGCCTGAATCTAAGAGGATATGAAAGTGAATTAATTCTTCAGTTTGACTTTGCTAGTTTTTCTTTTCAAGTAATGCAGATAAATAGAAATTAAGAAGAAAAATACAATAATGTATTTCCTCAGGAACACTGTTACTTTTTTTTATATTGCAAATTCTACGCACATACACAACACGTCTCCTCCTGCTCTGCTAAAGTCCTCTACAAATGTACAGATATGATTAAAAAGTTATTTGCTTTATACCACTTTCATCCAGAATTTGTAAAAACAAACTGGCAAGAAAGCCAGCTACTCAGTTTCAGCACACAACGCCAGGGCACCTGGAGTAGCTCCTGGAAGTCGGGGGCAGTCGGCAGCTGCAAACATCCGACTGAAAGCCCGTCTGCGCCTCACAGCTTCCAGTCGAGGATGTTTACAGTCGCTCACTGCCAGCAGCCACACGCCTTCTTTAACTTTCTGTTTGCTTAACCTGAAGAACAGTCCCCTGCAGGTGTTTCCAAGATGTACAGGTAAATTACCAAAGCCTGGTCCAAACAGAAATATTCTAGAAAATGTCTCAAACTCGAAACCAACAAAAAGCTCCATAGAAGTCTATTATCTGTGTGCCAAATTTCTACAGGATGTTGTGATATACTCAGATAACACGTGCAAACGCATTTTATCGTTACTGTCAGCCCAAGAAACAAATAGGCAAGTGGTCAGCTTATTTAACAGAGTCCAACTTGCATTACATAATTAAAATCCTTTTTTGAGTAAACGTGACTAAACACAGGAGCTACATTATGTTAACATCATAAAGTGTACATTTCACAATAAATACTGCAGTTAACTGGCTATTAACAAAATAGTAAAGGGTTATTTGGAAAGTTGTAAACTCTTGACCAAAAAAAAAAAAAAAAAAAAAGACTTACGTGCTGCTTTTCTAGACCACTTTTGTTCTGAAATCTGTTCCCAGAGGATTTGTACAGTCAGCTGATTTTTGAAAGCGTAACAACAATCAGGAGAAAAAATGGCATGCATTAGGGAGGTATATCACAGGCACAGATGGGCTGGAAGATCAAAGTTTCCCACTGGAAAAACACAGAACCTATCACTTGCAACAGAGTGACGCACATTAACTCCAAATTTGAATGTTTTGAATTCCACTCCCATTCTCTTATGAAAATAAATGAGAAAAACTGAAAGTTAAGTTCTATCACTCACGACTTTCCTGAACTAATTCAAAATCCTTCTGAGTCCAGTGACAGATTAGCTGATACAGAATAATGGGTGTGGCTTTCCCAGAGATTGTTTTTAAATGAAGTTACCTACCATAAGGGTCTGAAGTTGCAGAAGTTTTTAGTTTGTGATAAAGTCCCAACCAAAAACAAAATCCATACAAGCAGCATCATGTTTACTGAAACTAGCAAATGTGAAAAGCTCTATAAATTGCTTTTTCAAAGCAAAGGGTAACTCTATCCCATCAAGGTTAAAAAAGTTAATCTTTGAGGCAGCAGGTGAAAACAAGCTGAATTATGTTGTGGCCTTTTTCTTTATTAACTAAAGACTTTGAACTATTAAAACTTCCTAGGGAACCACATTTTCTCAATGGGTCAAGTCACATAGGGGAACAAAGCAAACTTTATCAGTGCTGTGCAACTCTACATTCCAGAAATTCTTAGTACTTGGCATTCATATACCACTGCTGACTAGAGCTTGAGTCAATCCACCAGACTCAGCTACAGCTACCAACCTTGTGAACTTCTCACCAAGACACCCAATTCTTTAAAGTTAGTCAGGAAGGGACAGGCAGGGTACTCTTTAATTAAAACAGACAAACACCAAGCCTTACACCCTGGGAGGATATTGTGTGTCAGTAATTGTTTACAAAAAGAAAATGTTTTTACTCCCCTACATTTTTCTCAAAGTAACAGATTCCCTACCTTGCTATGGAATCTTACCACTTTGACAATAACTTAAATTAAAAAATTAGAAATTGGAAATCACTACTATGCACAAAGCAAACAACCTCAAATAATTAATTCAATGAACATGAGGAGATACCGAACTTTTACACAACTTTGAAAATCAAGCCTCTTGCTCAGAACTTTATGAATCAAGGTAAAAAAAAGTCTGCAAACAAAGCATGCAAGACTGTAAGATCTTAGCTACAGGAGTTCATAAATGGAAGAGCATTTAACAAGCATCACTACAAGACTTCACAGTCACTTTTAGCAAGATATGTTAGATAAGAACTATGTGAAAGATAAAGCAGATTTATTTCAGTAAGATGCTGAATGAGACCTAAACATGTTTAACACATCACACCCTAATTTGTCCTGTACAATCCTGGATATGCCCACAGAAATCAACTTAGCAAGGTCAAAACTGTATGAAACCTGGCTGTGTTTTAGTCCTGGTTAGACAAAGTCTCAAAAAGCCTTCCCATTCAAAAGCGCTACTCTGGACATCTGGGTTTATAATCTTTCCCACAGCAATTTTATTTCAACCCTTTGGAGGACTGTTTAATTTATTCTGATGGTAGAGAGTTTAGGATCAGTCCCAGATAAAGTTTCAGAATTTTTCCTATCTATCATAAAACCATTTAATCTGGAACCCTCTTAACTGACTACATAATCCTACATTGTCCCCAGGCCATGCATAACTAAGAACAACTTAAAATATTACAGTTACTCAAGTTACCCTGAACCCTCTGCCACTCACATACTCAACTCTATGTTACGACTGGCACCGCGGCTCACTAGGCTAATCCTCCGCCTTGCGGCGCCAGCACACCAGGTTCTAGTCCCAGTTGGGGCACCGGATTCTGTCCCTGTTGCCCCTCTTCCAGGCCAGCTCTCTGCTGTGGCCAGGGAGTGCAGTGGAGGATGGCCCAAGTGCTTGGGCCCTGCACCCCATGGGAGACCAGGATAAGTACCTGGCTCCTGCCTTCGGATCAGCGCCGTGCGCTGGCCTCAACGCACCAGCTGCAGCGGCCATTGGAGGGTGAACCAACGGCAAAGGAAGACCTTTCTCTCTGTCTCTCTCTCTCACTGTCCACTCTGCCTGTCAAAAAAAAAAAAAAATTAAAAAAAAAAACTCTGTATTTTAAGTTACCAGAATCTTTCAATGGAACAGCCCATACTTAATAGTGAGATTTTAGGCACTTATGAGCAGGTGATGGAAGAGTCTACTACTAATTCACTCCATCCATCCATCTACCAACTGACCTACCTACCTATATACTGTCTACTTATTTATATTAGGAATCTCCTATGTCCATGGGAATGCAGGGGTACACATAGGCTATCCTGTCCACCTCTACAAGGACGCATCTCCCTCCCTTCCACCTTTTTCCTCCTATGTCCCCTGACCTCTGTACTTCTGGCCTCTGAGTGTCTGAGCAGCCCTCCAGGAATAGAAGTGTTCCATGTCCACACAGGGCCATGTGCCCAGGCTCTGTATCCTTCCACACTCTGCCCTGTCCTGTCCCTTCAGAAAGCACACCTAATGACAAGAAACACAAGTGGTCTCTGCCTCCTTTTGTAGAAAGCATACAAAGATCTGACCTGAAATAGAAATGACACAAATGTGCAAAATTCTGCCCTTTGAAATTAATCTTCACATTTTGTGGTTCAGTCTTTCACACTCAGTAGCCCACATGTCTTTAGCCTAATCCCAGGTATCTAACCCTCACTAATGCTGGTAATGAGAAACCTTCCCTTGCTTTTCTTTGCAATGAACACAAATACAGACTGACCTGGCCTTTGCCTTGTAAAAATGGACGAAGGCTCTATGAACTTATTAGGAACAATTTCTCATGAGTTGTACCACACTTGAAAGACTGTTAGGAAACTCAAATTCTAGGAAGAAAAGCATTTGCTTGAATAGTATAAAGCTTACAGTTAGGAGAATAAAATCTCTACAACTGTAGTCATGAATAAAAATATTTTAGTTCAATGAGTATTCTCTAATGAAAAAGTAAAAAAAATAGAGAATTAAGCAATTTTATGGCCTTAATATAACCTCAACTGAATATTTTTTGTACACCAAGCAATGTCAATGCAGTCTCCTGTTACTGCTGCCACAGCGGCATAAAGCAGCTACCTTCACATGCCTGTCTCTCTCATCATACAGATGAGAAGACTGTCTCCAGAGTGGGGGAATCACATCTATTACTCCCTGTCCTGTTATGATGTTTTGTTTATGTAAGCCTCTCTGAATCATTTGTGGAGCAGGGGAGTATGGGTTTGAATACATGGGAGATAGTTAATATTCATAGTCCCAATAATTGTTCTCAATGTAAATTGGGCATAAGAAGTTAAGGAATGAAAAGAAAAAAAAAAAAACACCAAGAGTAGAAACAAATATGCAGATTCTTTGGTGGTAAGAGCAACTCACTCATTGTCTGGCATATTTATTCACTTGCCAGCTGTCTAAGAAAAAACCGATTTACTATATAGGCCAAGCATCCCAGACAGGAGCTCTCAAAAAACCTATCAGAAAGCTTTTGGGTTGTTATCATCCTGCTTTCTGCCCTCCAACCCCCATCTGCCTCTCCTGCTTTGGCAGGCGTTCTCTCTAGGGAGGGGGATTCCGGAGGGTCAGCCCATCCCAGCCCCCAGGCTAATAAGGGACTTTCCATCCTATTCCTCCCACAGAAGCTTCCTCCCTTCTCTCAGGTTCTCCACAGTCAGCAGTTCCCAGACAGCCTCCCTCAGACCACCTGCTGGCTCAACTCTTTCCTCCTGGGGGCTCCTGCCCCAGGAGTCCTTTAAAAGAGCAGCTCTTCCTAGGAAATACAGTCTCAGTTCTGCTGAAACAGAAGACTGGATTTCCAAAAGAACATTATTGGTGAATTTAGGATGAACCACACTGTAATAATCACATGGCAGAACTCAGAATTCAAACTGCCTTTTTTAAAAAAGGAAAAAAAGAGCAAAGCTATTAAATTTGCCGCACAGTTAAAGCTTAACATGATTGGTACTTTACTTTCAGAGTCATAAATAAAGATGGAGAAACACATTCTTATAATGGGAGCTGCATTTAAAAAAATTTATTTTGGGGCTGGAGTTATGGCATAGTGGGTTAAGCTGCCATTTCGCAATGCCAGCATCCCACATGGGCACCTGTTCCTATCCCAGCCGCTCCACTTCCAATCCAGCTCCTGGCTGGTGGCCTAGGAAGAGCAGCAGAAGATGGCCCAAGCGCTTGGGCCCCTGCACCCATGTGGGAGACCTAGAAGAAGCTACTGGCTCCTGATTCCGGCATGGCCCAAACCTGGTCATTGTGGCCATTTAGGGAGTAAGCCAGTGGATGGAGGATCTCTCTGTGTCTCTCCTTCTCTCTCTGTAACTCTTTCAAATAAATATTTAAAAAATTATTGTTTATAAATTTCACAATTAAATGCATTTCTAGTTTAGATCAAACACACACCGTTGATTTTCTATCAATTTCTAAGCATGTCAAGTGATTCTGGCATGCCTAAAAAAAGTTAAGAAAGGCAGACATTTGGCACAGTAGTTAGGATCCTTCTTGGGACACTCATATCCCACATGGCAGTGTCTGGGTTCAAGTCTGGACTCCCCTCAGGTTCTAGTTTCCTGCTAATATGTATCTTGGCTCAAGTATTGGGACCCTGACATCCACACAGGCACAGACTGAGTTAGTTCCAAGCTGCTGACTTTAGCCTGGTCCAGCTCAGACTGCTGTGGACATTCAAGCATATGTACCAGCAGATGGAAGATTTCTCTTTCTGCCTGTCAAATCAATAAAAATCAATGAATAATTTTTAAAAAAGATTAGAAAGTAGTCTATTACATGTTCTATTATTTATTTTTTATTTATTTGAGAAGCAGCAAGAGATTAAGAGCTAGAGAGAGATCGATCAATCTTTCATCCACTGTTCACTTCCCAAATGCCTGCAACATCTGGGACTTGGAGAGTTTGAAGCCAGGAGCCCAAAATTCAGTCTGGGCCTCCCAGGGACCCAAGTGCTTGAGCCATCACTTACTGCCTTCCTTGGTGTACATTAGCAGGAAGCTAGACCAAAGTAGAAGTGGGACTTGAACCCAGCTAGGCATTAGGGTATGAGATGTGGGCACCCCAAGCAGTGGCTTAACCTGCTGCACCACAATGCCTCTGTTTTGTTTCTGTACTTTACAGATTTTCTTTAATGCAAATTCTTTAGTACAAATATTAGAAAAAACTGACCCATTTCAGACATACAAGAAATAGTATCTTTCAAACTGGTGGAGTAATGTAGACAGGAACAAGACATTTCTTATGAATGATTTTCTATCAAGATAAATATTTTAAAGGAGAGAAGATTGTATAAGTCTCTTCCATGAAGGCCATGATTCTATCTCAATCGGTACTGTGTTTACTGGAGCATTCTATAATGTGCCTTGCATACCTATAGTAGATAGTCTGTAAGCACTAGATGAATTTTTAAGACACTGATTAGGAGATTCTTAAAACACTCTTTATCTACAATTATGTAGTATCTTTATTTTGAAAAATTTAAGCGCTCACAGCTCTTTAAAACTTGCATTTCCCCATTCCACCTTTAAAAAGTGATGAAATAGAGACAAAAGTTAATGATTTGTTCAAATTTAAAGTCAGAGCCATAATATGGAGATGTGATTCTCCTCCAGTGGTCTGGCAGAACTGTCTTGAGACCAGTCAATGATTCTGCTAAGGTGGGAAGACACAGTGCACTGGGTCATTCTGATAGATGGCCGGTGTTGATATGGCCCCTACCCTTGCTGAACCTGCTAACTTCACAAATGGAAACTAAGATGCCTACACATGGAACTCTTTGGAGAAGTGACTGAGGCATGTACAATACCCCCCCCACACACACAGACATACACATTAGTTATATTATCTTATTGTTAACTTTTGATTATGAACAGGTTTGTGCATGTTAAACAGAATGGTGTCTGCTGAAAGGAACAAACTACTAAAACATTATTTGGGCTTTTAAACTAACTACATGAACTCATTTGACCTCACTGGACATCAATTTCCTCAAGTATAGTAAGAGGGTTAATCAGATTCTCTCTTAAATCCCTCTAGCTATAAAACCCCATGACTCTAATTCTTTCATTGCTTGAATTTATGAGGTAGAGAAGGAAGTAGAGGGAGGGAGTGTTGCAGGAATTCTTACAAAATTAAACACACACAAATCATGGAAGTAGACTTCCCTTAAATAGTGTGATTTTTCCTAATATAAAGAGCCACCAATTACCCTGAATTCATTCAACATCACTTCCCACACCCACACATTTTTAAAAATAGGGCTACAAAATAGTTTGAGGGTATATTTACAGGCACAGTAGTTAGTAGCTGACTTATGCAGCTTTCCATAGAAGATCTTAATTGTTTCCAGCATTGTTTGGCGTGGGAACTGGGTCATAAGCAGAGAAAGGAGAGAGACTTACACACCTTGTATCTGCAGCAAATAGTGACACAGCATACAGAAAACAGGCACACACGACAACAACTCTTATTTCTTTCTATCAGGTTGCAAGACTTCTACACCATTCCATGAGAAAGGGCAATTTAACTTGAAATGGCTCAGTGTACCTCAAAATCAAAGACATTTTTGGCAGAGCTTTACTGTAAGTTAATGTTTGACTTAAACTGTTTTGGGCTGTCAGCAGCTCAGTTGCTCAAGTCAAGATTTTATAGATTTTCAACAAAAAAATTGTAAACACCTAAAAGTCATACTTGTATTCAAAGAATAGTTATTTTCAAACCCGTATTATGATTGAATTCTACTATATTCATCTAATTAGTATGTTCTCACAGCAGGTGTGTGCTAAATGTGAACCACTAGGGAAAGCTGATGATGAAAATACAGTGTGACTGGTCCTGATTTCATTTGTAATGTTAAGCGCTAGAGTGGAGGTAAAAAGCTCAGGTCAACCAAACAGGGCAGCCACAGAGGCAACAGTAACAAACCACCAACTTCTGTCTGGCTCCTCTTGCCTCTGGTGAGGAAAGACAGACTGCAAAAGCATGGGATGGTTTCCACTAGCTTTTAGGCCTAAGTTCCATTTCTGACTAACTCCAGAAAAACTTAGTGTGTTGGCAATCTAAGATGCACAATGAGAAGGACAGAGGAGGAAAATAAAAATTTCCATGACTATAGGAAAGGATGGAAGACTGGGAAAAAAGAAAATTGGAAAAAAGACAAATAAAAAAGTTTCCTATCCTCTTTTCTATTCCCTAAAGGTAATTTATTAGTGATTCCTTAAATGTTTGAACATGTTATTGCCATAAAATGATCAAGAAAAAAAATCTTTAGTTTACTTTGTTCCACAGATGGGGATCTAACCAAACCACGACCCCACTTGGGAAAAGAGCAACTATGTAAAAATAGGGGCAGATATCTGGCTTAGTGGTTAGGATATCTGTACACCACACTGGAGTACCAGGCTTTGATGCCTGGCTCTGGCTGATTCAGTTTCCTGCTGATACAGACTCTGGGAGGTGGTGGTGATGGCTCAAGTAGTTGGGTCCTGCCACCCACATGGTAAATCTAGATTGAGTTCTAGAATCCCCACTTCAGCCTAGCCCAGCCCACTGCAGATGTCTGGGGAGTGAACCAGTAGACTTGTTCTGCCTGTCTCTTTCTGCCTCTCAAATAAGCAGAAAACTAATTAATGCATTTATTCAAACACTTTTATCATTTAGATTAACCTAACATTTTGTTTCTTAGAGTGCGTTTCATAAATGCTAATGAAAAATCTCTTTTTTACAGAAGGTATGATAAAGAGTAAGACTTCAGAGAGCCATAAAATGAATTATAAAAAGAGTAACACTGACCATGCATCACTTGCATTTTCTAGAAGAGTCACAATTTCAATTATTCAATCCCAATACAATCATAAACCAGTAGGAAATACTTTCTGACTTGTGATATGACCAAGAAGCATCATTACAGATGATTTAAGCAGCATCTAAAATTTCTTAAATTTCCAAACGAGTTCTTATTCTTAGTTTTACTTTCTAGGGAACAAAAAAGTACCACACTTGTGTCCTACCTAGACTATTAAGAAAAGGGAACTTACATACAAGAATAATATTTTACATACTTAAAAAATCCAACTGATGAAACAAATTACTCTAACTTAGTCTTTGAAACACTAATCTAAATACATATATGTGTGTGTGTGTGTGTATATATATATATATATATACCCACATATATATACCCTATTAGCATTCTAAAGCATGTGTGGCTTAACTTTTTATATTAATTTTTTTTTCTTTCTAAAGCTGCTCTTAAAATTGTCTCTGGTATTTTCTAAATGTGCTTCGAAGTTCTAGGACACAAGCAGTTTTTTAACTAATAAAATAAACACAGCAATGGAGTACCTGCAGGTCTGCTAACATTTTTGTTTGTATTATAAACCTCATCTACAAAGGCTACAGAGAAAAAATATCCAGTATAAACAAACATTGCTTAGATACCAGTGGCATCTTAAAGAAGCACACCCAAGCCTCAGAATGCAAAAGGGAAAAATTTTCCACTCCCACTCCACATAACTCCCTGGTGAAACACATGTCAGGCAAAAGAGGGCAACACTGCCTCTGTTACTGTGAAAATGGGGAGAAGGTGCGGACGTGAAGCAAATCAGTAATTCTCTCCATTTTTTTTCACCATTTTCCCCCTATCAATATATCTCCTCTTTCCAGCAATGTCTATCTTCTCGATAGTCCCTACTTTCCCATTTTCTTCTACCTCCAATCCCAACAGAAAAGAAAGCTTTGTCCTTTAATTCTATTGCTTGACATCAGTGTCTAAATTTCATAAAACACACATAAACACTACTGAAAAATGTTTTCAAAGAAATACACAAAGGGCAAGGACAGGGATGAAGTGGGCTGGAGTTAAGTCTAGGGGAAAGAAATCTCCACTGTTACTTGCAAGGCCCAAGTTTCCAGCTGTGGGAGAAGTTAAACTTTGGAGGGGCCAAATGCCAGGAGGAGGCAAGACAGAAAGGCTTGTGGAGCCATGTTAAGAATCACAGGAGTCAGTACAGCCCATCACACCAGGCTCAACAGGCACTGGAAAGTGCTTCTAGAGCTCAAAGGCTTAAAGTTGAGGAAAGAGGAGATGGTCCCTTTAACACTGGGTCAGCTGAGTTTCCTGGTCCTAAGTAGACTTACTTTCCCAAAACTCTTACAGCTTTTCAGTCCTGCTGCTGAGTTATCTACTCTATATACATTTATTGGTCTCCCCCAACCTAAGGCCATATCATAAAAATAACAACTTAATTTTATTAGTTGTAAAATAAACCATACAGTTACAAGGTTAAGTTAGTACTTATGAAGTCCCTGGAGTATTATTTGGTATATCAAAGTATAAGAATTTGTTAAATAAAATAAAACATAAACCCTTTGTGGACCCACATATTCAGATTCAAATGATTAGAACAGTCTTAAAAAGAGACTTTAAACAGAAAAGAATGGCAAATATATCGATTTTGTTAATGTATCATTAGTACAGTAGAATTACCAAGATGTGAGAAAAACTCCCTATTGAACCAGGCTTTATCTTACACAGTAGCCAATTCTGGTCCTGAGACACTATTTATTACTGAAGCAATACTTCTATTTGTCTGCTGAAATCACAACTTAAAAAATAGGAGTCTGAGAGTTCACCCTTGTTCTGGGACATCCTGTATCTGACTATGCAGCAGTGTATTCTTTAGCTCTTACTGAAATAATACTATTTAAGATGTTTACTCTATTTTCTAAACAAGGGTGCATTTTGAAGTTAAATGTTTGGGAGACAAGGATGTATTTTCATTTGGAAATGGGTGGATGAAATGAGAAAGCTCTAATGTGAACAGAAAAATAAGAAAAAAGGACAATATTAAAGGACAAGATGAGAAAATAATGTCACATTCAAAACAATGACACTATCAAACATGCTTGCAATGTGTTGCAAGTAAATGATAAAACGGCATCAAAACTCATTATAAACAGGGAGGAGCATGCATCTGGAATATGGAGCTACATATCTGCAAACTATAAAATTACCTGATGACACATACAACTCTGGTTTAAATTTTAATCTTCTTCATTAGTGTTGAACCAGAATAAATTGGCCTAAACAAGCCTCTGTACCTGAACCATGAGTTTGGCCCAAAGAGTTTATATATTTAGTGAATTACTTTCATAGCTAAACTGAGCCTTAGCCAGTTCCAGGCTGAAGGCTGACAAACTATGTCCAAATAAGGCAAATGCCAGACTGCACCAATCAGGTAATCTGTGCATGTCATATCCTGTCTTTCTGGTTACAAAAGTAGCTTAGTGCATAGTAAGAGGGGCAATCTGAACCATCTTCCCTCTGGAATGTTATCTGGTTTTGAACCTTTGTTTTTTTGATGAAGTAAACTTTTAGGGTAAAAGCATTCAAAAAATCCTGTCTCGAATCTCAGAGATAAACTATAAAAAATTGTTAATTACATCCTTTTATTTTTCTATCAACATTTATCAAAAACTTTCCCAGGTTATTAGAAATATCAACTTACAAACCTATAAAAACAGCTAATCATATTAAAACTCACGAGACTGCATAAGTTGAAAACTCAAAAATTCTAAAATATTTCAACATAGACTCTAGGTGTATTAATAAAGTATTAATATTTAAAAAATATAAATATGACTTTCTGGGCTTTATTTAACAAATACTTGTTTACAATAAAATAAAATTCTACTCACAGCAATTCAAAGAATATGATTATAGTTTCTTATGAAAAAGCTCTTTTGAATCCTCATTTAATAAAAGTGTTAGTACTGATAGCTTTAATGTGCAAAAATGAAACTGAAATATTTCCAAGAATTTTGCTTAAAAATATATAGTAGTTTTCAAGGTCAAAATGTTAGCACTGTCCCATCAATATTTCTAAATTTTTCAGGAAGAAAAGTACACTTCACTTAGTAAGAAATTTCCATTACTTCTATATTAAGGAGCCACGCCCCATACAACTAATGACAGGAAAACATTTCAATTCAAACCTCTAACATTACCCAGCCTGAAGCAAAGTTAAAACTAAAGATACAAAAACACAAGTGCATTTTCAGAGAAGAGAGGAAATGCTTGCTAAATAAGTAGCAATTATGCTGAAGAATTTATATGCTGAGCACGACTGAATGTAAAAACATCAGAGCAGTCATCCATAGCTTTAGCACTTTGAGTATGATTAACAGAATGAACTTTCAAAGGTCAATTAAATGTCAACAAACTTTAAAGAGATATTCTTAAATCTGGTCAATGTATAAAAGCATCTTGTAATTCAGGAGCATCCTTCCCAATTTAAATATAATGTGCATATGATATATGTATATACATATATGCAAACTTCAAACATTATTTTCAGCCAAATTATGACAGAAAGTCATCTAGTATCTATGCTAGGGTCTTGACTATGTTAATGTTTCTCAGGTTATTAAATGATTAAAAGAAAAACAGAATTGTGTTATTAGCTAACACCATTCAGTGAAGCAGCAATGCAAACTGCAGTCCACTCTTTGTCTGCAGGTTCCACAACCACCCAACCACAAACAGAAAATATTTTTTTAATTGTGTCTGTACTGAACATGTACAGATTTTTTTCCTTATTAGTACCTAAATAATACAGTATAATAGTTATTTACATTGTATTGTATATTAAAGTAATCTAGAGATCCACACATCCACAGGAGGCTGTACGTAGATTCTGTGCGCATCCTATGCCATTTTGTATGAGGGACTTGATCATCTATAGAGTTTGATATCTGTGCCGAGGATAAGAAAAAGGGGATTGTCCTGGAGCCAATTACCCCAGATACTATAAATTTTAAACTCTTAAAAGTAAGTTTTATTCAAGAATTAACCTACTTATTCTATCTTAGGGAGAGATTCTCAAGGATAATGCTAACACACTATCATCCTGATACCTAATTCGTCTCCTACTAACCTTCCCCGAATTCTGATGGTTATACAGCTTTCCAGAAAAGGTATATGCCATTTGAAAGTTGCCAAGTTTAGAATTAGAAATCTCTGGGACAGAATAAGTCTTGAAGGCACCCTTTAGTGACATCTGCATCCAAGAACTTAATAAGAGCCCCAGTCCTATCCCACTAAGTAGGGCCAAGTTGTCCTAGAACCTCAGAATGAGAAGAGACCATTAGGATCATCTGGCCAATTCTCTCCATTCAAAGACCAGGAAACGTAGAGCTAGAAGGTAGAGTAAGCTGGCTTGGCTCACACAACTCCTTATCGGAAGTCTTCAAATTCACTTTGCCCAGTGATTTTTCCTCTACATCAAATCCATTATATGCTTGCCTTTTCAATTAGAACTTTAAGACCAGGTTATAACTGCTCAAACAGCTGTGGCTTCCACTGAATTCATGGTAGGAATCTTAGGATGTTAATGATCTGGTAAGGTTCCAGGGGAGGGTCGAAAACTGAAAAATGAGTAGAATCTGGTTGGTTCGAGAGTAGACATCATCAGTGAGGGAAGCAATACAGGCTAAACAGTGTTGAGCACAGGATGGGAACTTCACTTTTAAGGCCACTTTATAAGCCAGGAAGGAGAGATGCAGTGTGATGGGGGAATAAATAAGCAATTAAAAGATTTTGATTTTAGCAAACAGAAGTTATGAAAGCACAGACTAGCCTAGCAACAGGTGTGCAAAGAGAATAAAGGTAGGAAGACAGAAAGGCCTAAATTGCATCGTAGGAATCTGTCTAGTAATATTAGCCAGACTTCACAGGGCAGTTGTAAGGAACAAGAATGTACTCTGACAAGCATAAATAGTTCTAGGAAGTAAAAGTTGTCTTAAAAGGGGGGGGGGGGGCCTTTCTGACCATGTCCCCATGTCTTGATGGCACATACATCTCCGAAAAAGGAAATTAGACTTGAATTCTGAATCTATTCCTATAGGACTGCAGATGGGTATATCTTCACCTCAGAAAGTCCAAAACGAGATCCCATGGGTGAGAGACAGCTGCCGCCATTAATGTCCTGTAAGGTTGAGAATCAATAATATTAAAATCCAAAACCAGGATTAAAATTCAAGGCCGACTACATAATCAGTGTTTTTCAAAGTGAATCAAGAAAGTCTATAATTAAGTGTAAATATGGCAGTACCAAAAAGGGAGGAGGGTGGATAAGAGCACCAGAGCCACTGAGCTATGGAACAAAACCCAAATTATTAGCTGCCACTGTAATCTGTATCTTTCTCTCCTCTCTTGGCCTCTGCCCCAAAATTATGATGTAGTAATGGGGCTGTCCACTGTGCCCAGAGCTACTTATCTCCTCTGGCGATGTCCTCCTCTCTTTTCCTTCTTCCATTCAACTCTCCAGGGCTAAAAAATAAATTTCAAAATGTTACTACAGTAAATTGAGAGCTACTTATATTGAGTATATGAGGGCCCTTTAAAAAGTTCATGAAAAAAATGAAAAAGATAAGCTGATTCTGGTGCAAAAAAAAAAAAAATCGAGAAGTAGGCATTGTGGCACAGCGGGTTAAGCCACAGCTTTGGACACTGGCATCCCATCATCAGCATGCCCGGGATCCAGTTCTGCCTCTGCTTCTGATTCCACTTTCTGCTGATGCACACCCTGTGAGACAACAGATGACCATCAAGTACTTGGGTCCCTGCCTCACGTTTGGGGAGACCCAGATGGAGTTCCTGGCTCTTGACCTTGGCCTGACCCAGGCCTGGCTGTTGTGGGCATTTGGGAAGGGAATCAGCAGATGGGAGATCTCTCTCTCTCTTTCCTCAAACACATTTTAAAAATCAATAAATAAATTCAAACATGTTTTTGAAATCCATGCAGTTATATTAATTTTCCATGAACTTTTTTAAGACCTCTTGTACACTGTGTGGCGATTATTAGCTGATGGTACTTTAATTCATAGGCTTACATAAGTTCCAAAATAAGACCTAGGAGGCAGGTACTTTATCTTCACTTTCAAGGTAAGGAAATGGAAGATTAGAGGGTCAAGGAGACAGCTCAAGGCCACCTACAAGTAAAGGGCAAAACAAGGGCTGGAATCAGGTCTGGCAACCTCCTCAACTTATGCTTTGAAGCTCTTTCCTAAACTCTTTGATCACCACCACTTTTTCTCTAAGTATGAAAATCTTCATTTATATGTGAGGATTTTATGGATACACATGTTACAGGAGCCATTATATGAGTTTGTAGATAAAAATTTTGGTGATAGAAAGCAGGGGACTTGAGTTTAGCCACACAGTTTCCTGCATAATCTTCAAATGTGAGTGCTGCAGGGCGTTGAGGGCACAGCTCTCCAATTAGCACTTTTGTTCTCTTCCTTCTCAGGCCTTCTGTTCCTTCCATTTCTGATCACTTGCTGGAGACCTTATTTTCCTCACTGAAGAAGTAGACTGGGAGTCCACTTCCACAATTGCCAACAAATCTGGGAAAGACGGTGGGACTATCTCACCAGTAGGAGTGGCTCTGGAACTTGCGGTATCTTGGCCCTGTGCTCCCAAAACAGCTTTCATTCTGCTGGAGATCATCTCTTGGGTTTCCTGCAGAGGTGGGTCATGAAGTGGTCCCTGGCTGTAGCCCAACTGAAAGATGAGGCAACAGGTCTGGTGCCACAGGAGAAAGATCTGAGCAATAAGTATGCAGGGGCTTTTTAAAGGATCCTTGAAAAAAGCAACACTTGCTGTTACAACATTGGCAAGAAAATTCTAATGCTGACTCTTAAAATATAGTGTGATTAACTCTCACTTTGGAAGGGATTTGGTAAGAATACAGATTCTAGGTTTTGCTCACAGACATTAGGATTCTGTAAATGTGGAAAATGCCCAGGAATCTGAAGGTGTGAGAGTACTACTGGTACAGGGCTAAGGACCACATTGGAGATGCACTATTCTAACCTCCTAAAAGGCTGCCCAACTATCACATTTTCATGAAGAATACAAATTCTACAACAGCAGCTTGTTGTTCAAGCATCAAGATGAGGTCTTGGGTTGAACGGTCTTTCTTAAATAAAGGCCATTAGGCTTTCCAGAAGTTTCCAAGTCTCCAAATATTGAGGCCTTAGGACTCTCCTGAAGTCAGCAAACTGTGACACCAGTCCCTCAGGAATAATAGCAGATCTCACTGCAGTCCACATTAGATCTCTCCTACACACAGTACTTGTCTAGAGTGAAGACCTTTTTGGGAAGATGCTATTTCTGGTGCTTAATTTGCATTTGGTGTAAAATTGGAGATACTTTTTCTCACTGCAGATTTAGTTGATTTAAAAAGGTACATTTTCCTTCATACAACTGAATTGAAAGGTTTATTTAAGGCCATCTAAAAAATGAGTTTAAAAATCAGGCAGCACTGAAGTGAAATATTATGGTTACAATTAGGCCATTTCATTAGACATCCAATCACAACACAAACAGCTACTGATTCTTTAAGAAATGTACCTTTTCAAAGTTTCATGTTTTTCAAACAAAACCAGGTCATCACATGTATTATGTTAAATGCCAATTTTGAGGTCTAAATTTTCATGCTATATACTGGAACTTTAGCTTAGCTCAGTTTCTCTGCCAGTTCTTTCTTTGCTACCTTCTTTCTTTCCACTGTGGCATGTTAACATAAAAAGATGGGCAACACAGATTTGTAATCATTTTTATCATAGCACCAAGTATTCTGAATATTCAGCATTTGTTGACTATATTTATGAACTTCCATTTTTTTTAAAAAAATCAACTTCTGTTGTTATAAGTTGCACAAGAAGAGAAAATGTCCAGGGAAGCACTTGACATCTAGAAGGCACTCCCATGAGTGACGAGGAAACTGGAGTACTTTATCATTTCTTCTGAATGCACTACTGACAAAGTAAATGCAATATTTAAGAGAATTTTGGTGATAAAAATGATTTTTATGGAAAAAATCAGGTCATTGTGATAATGAAAAGTTAATGCTACATCGGTTTGCAATACCAAAGCCAGACCAAACCTTTAACATTAATTATTTATCAAAATTATACATGCCACTAACACATCCCAACGAAGATTATGTAAGTCAGCTGTCTTGGCGTCAGTGATACTGAACATAGCAGCTATTTTCAATACTTCACTAAAATTAGATCAAGATGTACTTGTGCTATGTTACTGTTCCTGTAAGGAGATTTTACAGTAATGTAAGATTTACTTTGGTTAAAAGTGAGATTTTCTTTTCCTCTCTCAGAAGAGCACCCTCCCTTCCACTCACACCACCCCTCCCCCAGCCAAAGTTTTTAGAAGACAGAAGCAAAAACACCTGCCCTGCCTACTCTCTGCTATGCATAATTAATACCTAGTTCTTGCCCTAAACCGGAGTCCGGAAGGGACCATCGCTGGCGACACCTGCCACTGCACGCGCAGGCTTGGCTCCCAGTCCCCAAGCCCGGCCCCTAGGGCTCCAAAGGGTGCAGCAAAGTAGGCTAGTCTTAAGAATTGTAAAATAAGCAAAAATGGTAACTCATTTTTCACTGAAGAAAGCCTTTAAATATTGGTATGTTAAAGCATCCAGACTTCAAAGTTACTTGCGAGTGGGGTGTAAGGTGAGCCCAGGCACACGTAAAGACATCCTGGCCTACTGCTTCGTAACTCGCTCAGCACGTTGAGGCCCCAAGCCTCAAACGGAGATGGCTTTGAAAAATTGGAGGACATCATAGATCACGGAGCTGTCGCCCCACGGATCACTCACGAGGAGCTCTAAATGGGTTAAGTCACTTGTCCAAGGTCAAGCAGGGTCAGTGGCAGGGAGGGCCGGTCCGCGACCTTGTAACCTTTCCACCGCACTCCCACAGCCCCTCGGGAGCCCCCGCCCCGTCGGGGTTCCCACGGATACGGTTCACAAGTCGGTGGCATCTCAGCGCTTCTCAGCTACCGCACTTTGATTTGTTCTCCTCGCCTGCCCCGAAAAGTATTATCAAGGCACCCTCCACGCCTCCCCCCCACAGCCCCCCACCGCCAACCCAGGTGCCTCAAACCGCTGCAGCCCACCGCGCCCCCGCGACTCACCGCAGCCGGAGCACGGCCCCGCCGCGGCCCCGGCGGACGACGCCTCGCGAAAGTCACCGGGGATGACCGCGGGCGCGAGGGGCGGGCCTCGCCGCCCCGCGGAGGCGCCGCAAACTTTTCCCGGCTCGCAAGTTGCCGGGCTCGGCGGCCGCCGACCGACTTCCTCCGCCGGCCGCTGGAGCGAAGGGGGCGCCCCTGCCCCGGGAGGGGGCTGGGCGAGCCGGGACACGGTCAAGTTGGGGCCGGCGGAGCGCGGCGCCCCGCACTGCGAGGCGCGCGGGGGGCCGAGCGCGGCCGCATTGTCTCCGCGGCCTCGGACCTCGCTCGGGCGGCGGTAGCAGCCGCGGGCGCGGCCAACGAGTTGCCCTCCCCAATTTGGCTGCCCCTTTTCGCCGGCGCCGCCGCCGCCGCCGCCCACCGCGTTCTTTGTGTGTCTCTCGCCGCCCTCGGGCCGCTCCGCCGCTGGCCTGACAGCTGATGGGCTCGCCACGCCGGGTCCCACGTCTTCTCGGCCGCCGCCGGCGGAGCCCGGCCCGGTCGGAGGAAGAGGAGGAGGAGCAGAGGAGAGGAGCGTTGACAGATGCGGTCTCGAAGCGGCCGCCGCTGAGGGGGAAAACCCGGACTGTCCCCCAGAGACGCGGCCGGGGACCAGCCCTGGCCCTGCACTGCTCCTCCGAGACCTCGTCGGCGCGGCCACCCTCCCTCCGCGGCTGCCCGCGCAGCTCGGGTCCCGCGCCCCCTGCCCGGCTCGGCAGACCGGCGCGCTCGGTCAAGAATCCAGAGGAACCCGCTCCGCCCCCTGGCTCCAGCGCCCTCCAATGATCTCGGCCTACCGGGGGCAGTACTGTCCAATCAAGTGTCGGAAAACCCGGCCGGTCCCCGAGAGTGTAGCCAATAGGAGGCCACTCCGGCAACACACCCGCCCTGATCCGCGGAGGACGGACCGCTCGGCGCCCAGTCCTGGGACCCCGACCCTGGCGCCCAGAGCAACTCTTACGTCTGACCGGAACTGTGTCGCAAAGCCGGAGTGTGGCGAGGGAGGTCCGGCGCTTATATTGCGGCTACTACTAGGCGCTGAGGAAAATGGGAACGCTGGACACACTACTTTTGTGGGTCATCTGAATCTCCACCGTTAACAACGCTTTTCTTGGTTTCGAGTGTGTATGTGAGGGGAAGCTGCACGAATGCGTCGTAGCGCTGGGACCTGTTCCCGTTAAGGCCTTTTGTAGCACACGGCTTTCAAGTGCCCAGCCAGGCAGTGCTCAGGTTGGGTCTCCGCGGCGCTTGGCATTTGTGTGCCTAATAAACTTGCCAGAACACCAGGTATCTAAAACAGGGTAGTGTTCCATCCTGCGCCGACACGCAGGCTGTGACACGGGCGCTACAGTGGTCTTTCATTCTGAAAGAAAATTGGATTGAAGATGGAAAATAAAAGAGTTTTGGATGTAAATCATCTTCATTATGAACTTTCTCTCTGTAACGAAGTCGTACAAACTATGGGAGTTTGATGAAGTCCCTGAGTAGAAGAATATAAATACAGATGCCATGTTTGTAGGATATATCTGTCTATAAGTGGACAAAGAACTTGAAGAAAGCACTGGCTATAACTCACTAGCTGTTGATCATAGTACCTTGCAAATAAGATGAACACTCTATAGTTACTTGTTTGATTTGAATACGATTCTTCATTGGTTCATAAGAAGTTTGTTTACCTCATTGAGTACGGAAAGTGCATCATAATGAAAACATTATTTGGTATATTTACAAATTTTAAGATAATGTTAAACTGATACTTCAAATAGTCACGCTCAATTTATTTCTTTTGATAAATGATGCATTAAAATTTCATACACATGCAACATGTTCCGTCTGCATGAATTATTTTGACCAAATTTATTTTTAACTGAATGACCTATATAACCTATATATTGAACTAAAAAAGAGGGGGTATCAAACAAGAAAATATGGCTCTAGTGTTAGCTTACTTTCATGATTAAAGCTCATCATGCCTATCACATTAGTTTCCAAGAATAGCATTGCCCCCAAGACTAAGTTTTGCCAAAAGATGTATGTTCTGGATCGACCTTGAGAGCAAATCTCTTAATGGCTAACTCTACTGAAAGGACAGTTTGCTTGCCTGGTTGGAGTGCTGTGATAGCCAACTAAGAAAGTGTTGCAAGCACTTTGTTTTCCGTGAGCTACTGTGCCAAGGCCAAAGCAATCTTTAGTGTGTTGTTATTATTCTCTGCCTCTGTACAGGCAAGGATCAGGATCCTAGCAGCCTATTAGTGTTTCCTCTGATTGCACATTTTTTAGTCTGAAATATTTTAGACTAAATATTTTAGACACCATGTGAAACTCCTGCCTCCTAGTTCTAGAGGAAAGCAATACATCCAGATTTTTTTTTCCATTCTTTTTTTCCCCTCTATTTTAAATGGAGAGAGTGAAGAGAGCAGGTAAGAATACTTAGGAAAGAATTCTGAATCAGAAAAGCTTGAGAAAGGATGTTCACCACTGATTACTCTTAATACAGACTTCCACAAGTTCATGGAAAATGAAATTAAAAGGCAGACGTTTTTGAAATTCATGCATACGTGGGGTCTTCAAAGAGTTCAGGAAAAGTATGTATCATGAAAAAACTGCATAGAGTTAAAAATTTTTGCATCAAAATAAATTTACCTTTTAATTCCATTTTTTTCCACAAACTTTTTGAAGTACCTTTGTACATTCCTCACAAACTAGATAATAATGTCCAATTTAACATCCTTCTGTCCATTATGTTTATCATTTTATGCAAATTTTAATGTGTACGTGTAAATAGATTAGGGTGCAGCATGTGTATAGTGCATATGTATAGTATTGCATAGTTTTACAAGAAAGTCATTAATGGCTGAATTAAAGCTATACCCATCTGATGAAGTACTGAGTTTAAAACTTAACAGCATTTATTGGGAATTTACTTAAGGCTTTGGTGCCCAATTTTCAAAGAGGAAAGTAAATGTTTATTTTAGATATATTTCCATAATGTAATTTGCTTACTTTCTTCTCAAAGATGCAGTCTAGTACACAAGTTAATTATTACTTCAAACAAATGTACATATGGTAATACTAGACTGTGAAATTTGCTGAATTTAATTGAACCAGCAGTTGTTATTTTCAACTGATTAGCTGCACATTTTTCATTTTCTAAATAAAAATTGTGGAAGAATTGATCAATATAACTCCAATATATATGACTTAACTATATTCAAGTCAAGACAGTGTTTGGTAATTTCCTGATAATTAACAAATTCACATCCGTTTATGACAGTGAATGAATATTTCATCTATTGTCTGGGTGATATTTGTGATTCCCACTGTGATAATGTTTTATTCACTGAGCGATACTCTCAGTTTTTCATCAGTGATTTCTTCTCAAGTTCCAATATGGAACTGGACTGCTGTAACTGTCATAGAGCTACCAGATTTAGTACATATCTAAATGTTTGCTACAGAAACTATAACTTTGGGGTTAGTTTTAGCATTTTTGTGAATATAATGTTTTTCATACAAAGATATAAGGTCTTTTATAAGTTTCTCCACAGATAGATCTGTGGTAATATGACTATGCACAATATCATTTTTCTTGTAATTATACATTTAAGATGCTATCATTTAAGATTGCTTCATTAATCCAAATAATTGGATTCCTATCTTCTGAATTCTGGTAGTTGAAATGCCTCTGAATTTCTGTGTCTTGGACAAACTGACTTCTATGTGACTTTTTCCTCCAATTCAGACTCTGATTCGGTCATCCAAAAATTATGTTATTACGAATAAGAAATTATATCTGTGTAGAGAGAATAGAAAAATAATTAGCTCTATGTTTTATTCCATTTCTGACATGTATGAGGGGAAAATGATTTTATGAACCATAACATCAGATCTCTTTAATTCTCCTTTTACATAACTTTTATTTTTCTGTTTTCTTGGATCTGACCATACAGTTTCCTCATTGTGTGATGTGTTTATGGCAAGAATTTTTTTATTGTAGAAGTATATGAAGAAGCAGAGAGAAAACCCCAGCAAACACTGGTGATGAGCGTACCAGACTCCCTCCCCCATTTCATCTTGTGCCACAATCTCTGAGGAAAATTTCTTTTAAAGTATTAGGAGAGATTTTATTTCCCCTGAAATGAAATCTTCATAACTTTCCCTTTTTCTTTCAACTCTCAGGAGGCTCAGAACTAAATTTACAGCTCAATTTGGCAAGGTATTATGGCCTGCTTCACTATAATATTTTATAAGCATAAACTTATTACTCTTCATCCATGCCTTATTAGAGTATATTTGTATGTATGCACTTTATTTAAGCTATCTAAAATACTTTCTGAAATGAGATGAAGTATCAATAAGTGATAATGTATTTTGAGCCCCTCATAAACCCTGAGTATTTTGACCTGAACATAACTAGAATAAGTAGTGAGGACAGATGGTTATTGCTGTGGTTTTCGTTTACAGTGGAATAGGAATGTGATAGACCAGGTTTAACATCTCAAAACCTTGCATCAAAAGGTAGAGAAAAATAGAAGTGCCAGACTGGGGACGTTTATTTTTTTAAAGTTAAAGTTACTTTTAAAAGCCTTCTTCTGGGTAAGATATTGTTTTAGTGTTGTTGCAGAACTTTATCTTAGCATTGTTTGTTTTATGAGATATTTTACAACCTTGTCATACGTCCTTTTAAAATAGAAGCACTTACACAAAGTAGAAGGTAGCATTCCATTTCCAGGCCAGCAGGCTGGCATGTGGAAGGCTCTTAGAGTTAGGGTTTTACTCATGAGTGATTAAAAAAAATTGCAACTTAAATATCAAAGCAAATTTATTCATTTCCATAATTTAAACTCTACAACTTTGAAGAAGTAATGGTATAGGGGCAGCTAGGTAACAGATGTGGGAAATCAAAGAGCGAAAGTAGAGGCTGCCGGCGCTGCGGCTCACTAGGCTAAT